TATATATATATATATATATATAAAATAAAAATGAAAAGAATCAAATTAATCAGTTCATGAATAATTCTGAATTATTCATGGAAAAAGTCATGGAAAAGTCATAGGAACTCATTGGTTAAAGAATTTACAATTTAGAAATTGGATCCTTTTTTACACATTTTTTGAATTTGAGTGTCTGTTTGGAGAAGGCTGGATTAGTCTGGTTTCTGGTGGTGTGGTTTTCTTGTAAAAGTCAGGCAAGGTGTACTGTATAGCTCCAGCATAGTGTTTGTTCAGACCTTTTCCTTGACCCAGGTCTAGATATGTGCACATATGAACTCAAATATGAACCAAAGTGTTTGTAATGTTTCATTCATTCCAAGAGAGCAGAATGACTGTGTTTATCTATTGCTAGCTTGATGCATCATTTTCAGGCATGTTTCTGACAATTTTATGAGTGGGAATTCAGAAAAGGGAATTTATGATCTCAAGCAGATGAGAATAGAGAGGGTTGTCATTTCCCACCTCGACAGACACGAATAGAGCCTTGACTTATGGTGGATCCATCCTCCCATTTATTCATATGTCAGGGGAAACAAGTTCTTCCACTTCCCTTTTCTTTTGTAAGTTAACATAAAACCGACTTAGAAAGAAGTCTTTTGTTTTACTTTCACAATCGTTTAATCTTGTGTTTTGGATGCCTCTTCTGGGAACTGTCTAAATGCATTGCAGATGATAAGAGATATGCCTCTCCTGTGATTCTGTTAAATCTTCTTGTGAAATTATTCATATATTAGTTGCATTTTCTACAGCAAGCATCACTATTACTGTTTCTAATTCTGTTGCTATTTGAACAAACTCTTAACCCTGAGGAATAAACTTTGTTGTGTAATTATCTCACACTACAGTATTTGTGCTGTAGACATTAATGATGCCTCACTTGCATTCTCATATTTGTGGGTAGGCTCTTTTGAATAGACCCGGTAAGAAAACACCTTAAAAATGTTGACTATTTCATTGTTTATAGGTACCATGACACCTTTGGTAATTGGTAATGGTAATTTCATATTAGTATAATATAATTATAAGTGTGATATAATTTTAAAATATAGTATAATATAAAATAATATACACAATTGTTTAAAAGTTTGGGGTTGATAAGATTTTTAAATGTTTTTAAAGATGTCTTTTAGGCTGCATTTATTTGATTAAAAATGCAGTAAAAAACACTACCTTATTGGCCCGAATATAAGACGACCCTGATTATAAGACGACCCCCCCTTTTTTCCAGATGTACCTTTTGGAAAAAGGCTTTTTAAAAAACAAATTTTTTTTTTCTCAGTAAAACACATTTTGTCTTCACTTATTTTCATATTGCATATTTTTCCTATTTTAATTTTTGTTTTGAAAGTAAAAACAAAACAGGTAGCCCATCTGAATTAGGACATTTAGGCTATCCATCTAATAGTAGCCTACCAAAATCTTATTAACAGTAGAAGTTAAATCTTACTGTAGTCTTCAAATCTGGGTACTGTCTTACGTTTTAAAATCACAAAGGGAGTTTGGTGCCATCAGGCTAACGTGACAGTCACGACTCATGCAGCTGTAAGGTTTTCTTTTTCTTTTGTTTTTTTACTCGATCTTTACAACACGCATTACATTATGTATTTTATGGCACACTCGTTTTATGCGTATTTGGCGCCACCTATTGTTGTGGGTGTATTATTGACATGTCAAAGTCTAGACCCTGAATATAAGACGACCGTGTTTTTTCAGATGTATTTCCAAGAAAAAAACATTGTCTTATATTCGGGTCAATACGGTATATTTATATAATTTCATATAGTGGATCAGTATCACTTTATACAGCAGTTCAATAAACAAGAATTTAATACACTTACCTTAGACACAGTTGACTGTTTTTTCTCTCTTTCGCCAACAAATATAATTCTAATTTGCATCTCTGAGCAACATGATGGTGTTTCCTTCCTGAATGAATAAACCGTTTAAATGATTCGATTCAATCGCAATGACTCACTTATTAACAGTGACTTGCTGCCACCTACTGGCGGTTTTAATTTCACATTTAAAGTATTTTAAGTTTTTTTTTAAATAATTTCAAACTTCAGTTTTCAATGTTTTATGTTTAAAATATCAAAACATTATTCATGCATTTGCAGGTTAGGTTAAAGTATCCCATGTTCCTCTGAGCTGAATTAAACAATGTGTAAATACATCTAAATTAGGGTTGGGCGATGTCTACCAAATTGGCATCGGACGATGTCTACAGTGAAACATCCATAGTATAGAGTCCTTGTGATCACGAATCTCAAAAGTGAAAGTGAAAGTAAAATGAGAGTGCACAATCGAAAGTGGTTTCAATAGCGGCTCCCTTATGCCCGCAATTTATATACAGTCACCTATACTTACCCAACGATATCATTGCGAGAAAAAGTATTGAAATATTTTTTTATCCTCCCATCTCGTAGGCTATTTATTCCCTTTAGGGTTTCCGTAGTACACTTCATTTCCTTTCCGAACACGGAACTGGGATGCGGCGGATTGTGGTGGGGGGGTGGGGATCACGATGTCAGCTTAACATCGTGATGTCTGCCAGCCATCGGTGATGGATGATGGCATCATCTATCGGCCCAACCCTCATCTAAATGCCACTTAAGATGCAGCTTCTGTTTCCTCTGCATTGCAAAGATACATTTTGGTGATACTGATTTCATTTGCTTGGTAACAGCCCAAATGCAAGAATTTGACTCAAAAGTTGTTGTACACTTTTAGAGAAAAATTGCTTAAAGGTCAAAATGCCCATAAAACTTATTGGAAAAGATTAATTTCTATCACTGCTGTGAACTGACCACATAGAATATAT